AGTGGGCTCTGCGGGGCTGTCCAGCCACTCGCACACCCAGCGTCTCCAGGGAACAGTGGTTAGGCCTCTGCCCTCAGGATACCCGCCCAGCACTGGGGACAACATCCCAGGAGGACATGGCCAGATGTGGGTTCCACTGTCCCTTCTGCCCCTGACCAGGCAAACTGGGCAACTCCTTCCCAGCCCCTCTGAGAAGAGTGTCACCCAACAGAAGTCTCCAGAGAGCCCGAGCATCGACTGAAACGTTCAGCAGCCCCAGGGAGAGAAACACACAGACGCACTGGCGGCCGGCATCTTTTTTTTTAGCCCAACACCCAAAGCCTGATCATTTGACATGAGGTTGCTATGAGGGTTATTAAAGAGATACTGTATTCGTTTGACTGGTGTGAGTTCGAAGCCTGCTGAGTCTCTCACACTGACAGCACATCTCTGTTTGCACCTCACTTCAGATGTCCCCCTGCCAGTGGGAGCCCATGGCCACCAGGCTCCACTCCCACCAGGGAGCCTGTGACAACCAGCATGGGAGCCCTCATCCTTCCTGGGAGTCATACTGGGCCTGGTGCCCAGAGCCCAGGCAGGGCTGAGACCTGGCACAGGGCAAGCCTCTCAGGCCCCAATACTGTCCTCCTGTCCCTCAGACTGTTCAGCAACCCCTTCGCTAAGCCCTGCTGTCACAGCTGGGTGGCTCAGGGCTCTGGCAGCTTAGCCTGGCTGTGAAGACGCCTCCCGTGCAAAGCTCACCCACAGAGCAAACAGGAGCAGGGACACCTGTGCCCAGCAGCCCAGGCCACTCACGTGAGCCCAGATTAGGTGGCCCCTATGCCTAGTCATGTCTAAGGCCGGCACATGACGGGCGGGACTTGACACTTCTGTGCGCTTGGGGCGGGGCTCCAGCCTCGGGCCAGTGGGTCCAGGGGGCTCTGGGCATGGGTGGGGGTGGGGCAGTTGCTGGAGGTTGCCAGTGCAGTGGAAAGGCCCTCACCTGCTCAGAACCTTCACTCCTTCCAGGCCCTCTGGAAGGTTCTCTGGCCTGCCAGCCCTGGTTCCCCTGCGGCTCAGGTCCCCCTCCTGTCATCTGCCCTCCGTGCTCCTGCAGTTCCTGGGAAATAGCACCGGCTTTCTGGCCTCTGGGCCTCAGCACACACTGTTCCTTCCATCCACAGCCCCTTCCCAGCGCTCACCTGTAGGCTCACCTGGGCGGTGTGGGCCTCCCAGGTCACTGCCTCGGGAAAGCCCATGCCTGGCAGGAACTCTCTGCCTTGGTGAGGGCCCCAGGTTGCTCAGACTTCCCTAAAACCCGAGGGTCCTGCAACTTCTGTGCCGCCCCTTGGGCACGGCAAAGGACCACTGAGCTGGGGACACGTACTCACCCTGAGCCCATTTCCAGGCAGAGACGAGACGGCCAGGCCACACCCCCACACACGCATCCCGGAGCCGAGCTAGGCCTAGGATGGGCTTGGGTGGCCCAGAGCCACATGACGGGAGGCCATGTCCGTGCAGAGAGGCCTAGGGCGGGCCGTGACCTCTGGAGGGAGCCGAGCAGCTGGCACACAGGGGCCTAGGCCCGCCAGCACGGGCACCTTCGGAAACTGCAGGGAGCAGGGAAGCCCATCCCTGGAGGCACACGGGCAGGTGGACCTCTGTGGGACAGGACCAGATCCTTATGCAGGGCCGATTCGCCCTTTACAGAGTTTCCTTCCGCACTCAGGACTTAGGCCCAGCCAAGGTCACAGGCTGGCCTGAAGGGGGCTGTCCCACCCACCGGGCCGTCCCCCCATCAGAGCCAATCATTAATTGGCACTGCTTGCGTGGCTGCTCCAAGTGCCCCCGGCTGCCTGCCAGCTCTTGGCCTGGCTCCCACCCCGTGCCCGGGGCACCAGCAGCCTCTACCCAGGGCCAGCCCCACTGCTCAGCCCCACCTCCTTCTCGTGAGTGCCCGGCTGAGCCCTGGGAAGAGCAGGTGTCAGTTCAGACCACCATCAACACAGCTGGCAGGTCCCTGCCTGTGAACTCGGCCTGCTGGCCTGCAGCCAGAGCCCTGCCGGGGACAGCCCTGCCTGGGAGACCTGGCCTTCATTGGAGTGTGCCGAGGCCAGGCCTGGGCTCCAGGGGGCAGGGGACAGGGAGGGCTGGAGGCAGGCATCAGGGCCAGGCCAAGGGCTGCTGGGAGGTATGGCACTGGCTGTGAACTGGAAGACCAGGGAAGCCTAGAGGCCCCACCCCCCCGACGGGAGCCCATGGGTCAGAGGTGGAGGACAGGCCTGCGGGCCAGAACTGGGGAGCTAGGACCCGAGGTGCTAAGGAGGGGCCGGAAGAGGAAAAGGCCACATAGGGCAGCAGAAGCTCTGGTCTCCAGACAAGGTGGGAGGGAGGTGGGGAGGGGCTACTCTGACCCCAGGCTGCGGACAGCCTCCCCCGGGCAGCAGGGACCACTGCAGTTTGGAGGGAGTGATGGGGCATGGGGTGATATCCCGTGTAACCCGTAACTGGGGTGATGGGAGGAGGAGATGGTGATGGCTGCAAAGGGAAGACAGAGAAGCAAGCCCTGCAGTGACCACAGGGCAGAGCGGAGGGCTGGACAGAGGGGATGACACCAGTGTCTGCTGTGCTGTCTGAATGACCAGGGACCAGGAGCCGCCCAACGGGCCAGGGTCTGCTGTGCTGTCCGAATGACCAGGGACCAGGAGCCGCCCAATGGACCAGGGTCTGCTCTGCTGTCCGGATGCCGGGAGTCTTAAGCAGCAAGATCTGATTGCATCGGGCCAGAGGCTCTGGTGGCTTGGGAACTGATGCTGAGGCCACAGAGAGCCCAGCGTCAGGTGGAGCCAAGATGTGGTCCAGGGGACCTGGGGACCTGTGACCGCCAGCCAGGCCAGGGTTCAAAGGAGTAGCCAGAGACAGGAGAAAGCAGGGCAGCTTCAGGGCCCAGAAGCCAAGGCAGACGGGACAGCCAGCCACACAAAGGTTGCTGCCGTCTGGGAGAGGAGAGGCGTAGCGGGTGGGCAGGCTAAGAGAAGGGCGCGGGCTGCAGAGGCCCTGCCAGGGGTGCCTCTGTGGTCTGGAGCAGGTGGGGGTCCTGAGAGGGCCTCTGAGAGCAGACCCTACTGGGGCTCGGCCGGCTCTGGAGCAGGGAGTAGGGGTAGGGCAGGGCCGATAGCAGGGCACCGGCAGGACAGCACAGCCTGGTCTTGGGAGAGTGGGGGTGCGGCGTCCCTGAGCACCCCACCTGCAGGTAGGCAGCCTCTCCACCATACATCGGTCCCCCTGTGGGCAGAGCCATGGGCCTCCTCACTACAACTGGGCCGAGGGCTACAACCCAAGAAGGGCCAACTGGGAGCTGTGGGCAGGACCCCCATAGCTGCAGAAGTGGACGTGACACTTAGCAGAGGTGGCCTGGGTGGGCACCAGCGAGGTCCACTATGGGCCAGGCAGCTGGCAGGGTCACTCCTCCGGGCTTCAGACAGTCCATGTACTGGAGTGCCATAGGTCAAATCCCTCCTGGGCCCTGGTCCCCCAGAGAGGTTCGGTGGATGCTGAGTCCCTCGCCCCATGCCTCATGGTCCCAGAGTCCAAGCTACCACTTGACTGGCAAGGCAGGCACAGCCCCATCTCTGGCGGAGGCCGCAGTAAGATGAGGAGGGGACAAGGGACACCTGGGTGCAGCCTGCTCTGCCCGGTGCACACAGGGGACCTCAGGGGACCTTAAAACCCCCGGAGCCTTAGCTTTCTCAGCTGTGAAACGGGAATGCTCACAGCTGCCCAGAGCCCAGAGTCTCAGGGCTGAGGGCCAAGCAGGCAGGTGGGCCCCTCACAGGAAGTGGGGACCCCTCAGGGAGATGGAGGTGGCAGCCCCACCCTCCTGGCTGGCACCTGGATGGAGAGAGCTGCACTTGGGTGGTGGGGCCCCGGGGAAGGGGCGGGGCAACCCTGCCAGCTGTGCCAGGTGCCACCCACGGCCGCTCCCTGCAGAGGGGCCACTCCCTGCAGTGGTGCTTTTCCTGCGCCACCCCCAGCCCCATGACAGTGTTCCAAGTCCTCAGAACTGAGCTCTGGCTGGGGTCCCAGCAGCGGCAGCTCTGCTCAGGGGGACTGGAAGCTGCACTGTGCCTGCAGGCTGGGCACCCCTGCGGGCCTGGAGTCACGCCCCAGGTATTCACTCTCCTCACCCGACCCTCTCCACGGCCTGGAGCAGCTCGCGGTGCTGTTCCTGGCTCCCCATTCCACAGCCGTTTACTGAGTACCTCCTGGCACAGCCCCTGGAGAGGCGCCCGGCTCAGCCCAGCTAGAGCTGAGACCGAGGGCCGCAGCCCAGGGCCACCCAGCTGGGTTCGAATCCAGGTCAGCTCCGGACACAGTTTTTCACATAAGCCCCTCTCCGGCCCTCAAGTGGAGCCCCCACTGGGCCCCAGTCTCCTCATCTGTGAAGTGGGCATGGTGAAACCTGCCCCAGGCCTGGGAGGACAGGGCGAGGGATTCTGCCACCCCACATCACATTTCAGCGGCTGCTGGCTGCCCACCCTCCCTCGCCCTGCCCCAGCCACCCAGCCCTGTGACACTTACACTGTTGTCCCCTCCCTGGCCTCCCTCCCACCATGGACTCCTGACCACAGGTGGCCAGCACCTCCTGGGGACCCGACACCATCCCCACCACGCCCCAGCACGCTCGCATGGTAAGCACCACAGAAATGGAGGCTCAGAGAGGTAGAGAAAGTGTCTGGGCAAACACAGCAGCAACTCGCCCCGACCTGCACGCTCCCGCCATGCACCTGCCCGCCGGGCTCCTGTCCACATCTGGACAGTGTCCCCAGGCCCCGTGGCCCAGAGCGAGGACCCTCCTCCTCGCACACAGGCTCGCTGCACAGAGGCCTCCCACCCCGGGCACAGGTGCCTGAGGGCCAGGCAGGTGCGGCTGCTCCTGGGTCCTGGCCCCCAGCGGCGAAGGTGGCCGTCACGGGGACCCGGCCGCCCCGCCCCGCAGCACGTGGCCAAGGTGCCCTTACCTACTCGGAGCTCCTGCCCGAAGACGGTCCGCTCACCGAGGGCCGAGCAGTTCCAGCGCCCGAAGCGGAACTGGTGCTGGCACTCATCGATGCCCATCTGCGCGCCCTCCCCGATCACGATGATGGCATCGGGCCGGCTCTGGCAGATGGCGCGCTGCCGCGGGGCCAGGCCAGGGATCTTGTTGCAGATGATGTTGGCGCCCAAGGCCACCACCCATGACAGTGCTCTGCAGAGGCAGGGGAGGGGACAGGTGAGACAGGCCAGCCCCTTCCTGTCTGCCCCTCCTGCTCAGGCGTCCGGTGCCAGAGAGCGGACGATCCCCGCTCCAAGGGGCCGTTTTCCACCAACTCCCAGGCCAGGTCCTAGCTCGGCACGGCAGCGAGCCCTGGGCCCTCTCAGCCGCCCCCAGGCCCACGGGTCAGTCATCCCTGGGGGCTGTGCAGTCCCAGACAATAGGGGCTTCCCCACCATGCAGACTCCCCGCCCCCACCTGTGGCAGCTGGCCGGGCAGGCCGGCAACAAGGTCACCAGGCACTGACTGCAGCCCCAGACGCCCGGGACCTTGGCAGAGCCTCAGTACTCACACCCACGAAGTGGGGGCATAGAGCACCACACACGCTCCGACAGCCCCTGGGAGAAAGAGACCAGCCTGCGTGATGGGTACACTCGAGCAGGAAGTGGGACCCCAGCAGCAGGAGCACCTGTTAACCTGCGGGGCTCAGTCTCCCACTGCAGCCTCCTGTCCCCCCAGCAGTCCTTGAGGGCACCTGGCTTCGGCTGGGCACTGAGGCCCAGATGCGAAGCCACTCACCAAGCTCCCTCTACTCCGGGCGTCATCGGTGTGATTCTTTGTGTGCATGGTTTTTGTTGTTGCTGTTCTGAGAGATTTTTTGCTATAGGACATGTGCGTTCGCCAGACAGAAACAGGAAACAAATCACCCCCAGGGGAATGGCCACGCCGCAGTCTCTTCCCCTCCATTCTCCTTTTGGGATTTTGGGCACACACGCACACACGCCCGGCATGAGTTTCAAGCCACTGGACCCAGGACTTGAGTAGTGCTTGACCATGTGTGAGTCCTGAGCCTTAACTGTTATGCCACCCGTTGGCCCCGACTGTGTTTTAAGTCCACACCACATAAAATTGACCATTTCATGTCGACAGTTCCAGGATGCTTAGCATTTGGGGCTGTGCATCTACCAGCCATTAAGTTCTGAAACATTCTCACCGTCCCCACGGTGTGCCCATCAGAGCGTCCGCCCGCCCCCTGCCCCAGCCAGGGCCACCTCTTATGTTTTCTGCTCTGGGGTCGGCCAGTGCCGAGGCAGATGGATCAGGTCCTTCGTGGGCTGCTGTGTCTGGCTTCTCTCCTTTCACATCAGGTGCTCAAGGCTGGTGGCATCATGGCATGACTCGGCATCCCATTCCTTTTCAGGGGTGAGTAGTACTCCACGGTGTGGAGAGGAGCCGTTTCCGGTGGTGGACCCTGGCCACCTTCACCCGCTGGCTCCGTGATAGCGCTGCCCTGGACATGCGAAAGTTTTTGTTTAGGGTCCCTGTGCTTGACCTCTGGGTGCACTGGGCAGTGGAATTGCCAATCATAGAATAAGTCTTTAAGAAATTGCTGAGCTCATCCACACTGACTGCCAATTTTGGGGTGTTTTGTTTTTTTAAATTGTTTTCCATGAGAGAAAGCACATGTGCGCACGAGAGAGACGGAGACAGAGAGAGGGAAGCACCTCAGGGCCACACCCCCGACCCTGTAGCTCTTCGGGCTCCCGGGCAGCCACGCACATGCCCAGTGTACTTAAGGCTGACCAGGCCGGGATCTGAACACGCAGCCAGCCGTGTGGCTTCCAGCGCTACCGTGCAGTATGCGACACTTGTGCCCAGGTGGGGACCCGGTGTCGGTTCTAAGAGAAGGGGCCACAGCTGGATGTGGGGTGTGGCTGAGGGCCGGTACCGGGCAGAACTACTGGCACCAGCTGGGTGTCAACATGGACCAGGCCTGCTGAGGGCAGGGACCGCCAGGGCTCCTGGAGCAGGCGCTTGAGGCCCGGGCCTCTCCTCTGCCCACACTGCAGGCCCCTTCCATGACAGACAAGTCAGTGTTTTTCCAGGCACCCAGCACCCAAAGCCAGCTGGGAAGTCCCCATGTGGCCAAGTCGCAGCACGTGCTGCAGCCGGGGCACCCGGCTGACACTCAATCCCT